AATGTTTTCCATTTGTACTTCTTGCCACTGTTGTTGCTGCTGACTTTCTTCCTGTTTCCTTTCTTGATAATATTTTAAGTCCGATGTTGACATTCAGCACGGGTTTCCTGTCTCTGTGTGTCAAATTTGCACTGTCCAAAAGTTTGAATGACAAAACAACATTCGGAAGTTCCATTTTATATTTTTTGTGCTTCATGCATAAATTCTGACGTCGGCATGTCTTCAGTTTATTTTACGAATCGAATTTTGAGTATGCCTCATAGGCTAAATCTACAGCTTCTTTCATAAACAGCGAATCAAGGACCTCAATTAAAACATCCATTCCATTAATTTCAGGTGCCTTCGCTTTTAACTGGCCGGTTAGCGATAAAGTAACCGCCAAAGCTCGTTTCATCTTTATCGAGGTCCGTCATCAGCCTCCACATTTCGACTTCGTTTTTCTAGGTCTCATAGACCGTATCTGGTCGTAAAGCCAGTAGAGTCTTATAACTGTTACTTTGGTACTCCCAGTTTAGGTCGATGAACAGTAAAATTAATTCGTGTACGCTCAACAAAACTCATTGTAATGGCGGTTTTCTCAGGACACACTAATTATTTCGATCTCCTGCTCAAAAGATAAAGGGGAAAAGTGGTCAAAATATTCGTGACGGCAATATAGTTAAAATCTTACATAAAAAAAATATTCGGGTACTTTGCAAAATAAGAGAAAGTATCCACTTATTGTTTAATTATTAAATAAAGATTTTCTAGGTTATTTTACATTAAAAATTACATAGCTGTCCCAACTAACAGCTAGGTTTTAAAAGCATAAACCACTCATCCATTGTATTGCTGAAGAAAGCCAAATTGAATTAAATATATCAAACACAAGCAATATATGAATACCCTCCATCATGTTGCAAGTTCAATTTTTATTTTATTTTTATTATTAGGGTGTCACTAAAACATTTTCAGATTTCCTTTTCTAATCAGTATTTTGTGGATGTTTTGTAGGCGTTGCTTTGGATTCGTGGCAAAAAAACCACCCAGTCACATTGACAACCAATGTCACGTGTTTGCTGAAATTGATCCCAGTAACCCTGCGTCTGCTATTGTGAGTTTGGTAGAAAATGTCACAGCAAGTGCACCTAAGACTATGAAGAGCAGCACATAAAAGAGTAGAAGTACAAATTGTTACCTTTTCTTCTATAGTTATAATATAAACGAAAATCAGTAGGTATCTTGATGATCACCCTTTGGAATTACTCAGTGAGTGATATTCGTCATTAACCATGACCTTTGACCATTTTTTTGTTCAAAATTAGTATATGTAGAAGAACATCGTTTTTAAAATTTGAGCAGAGAAAATTTGCTTTGGTGGCAATTTTTAATTTATATATCCATACCCAAAGAACAGTTTAACTTTCAGACGCTATTCTAAAAGAATTTGGAAAAAGAAAGTCACTGTGTTATTTATACACTGATGTAAAAGAAGTCTCCAATTAAAACTTTTGAAATTATTCATATTGTACCTATAAAACCAAAAACAAAAAGCTTAAATGGAAATGTGACTCATCTAACGCTAGAATCTGTATTTTTATTTTGGCCGTGTTATTATAATGGGAATGCTTTGTTTAATAGTTGGAAAATTAATCATTATTGTAATTGTGAAATTTTATTTTTATTTTCATTAAAAATTCATTAAATTCACATTTTAAATGGTCCTGTTGATTATCTAATCTAAATATATTACTCGTACATAATATATATAGGACTTGTGTAATCTTATAATTGTTAAAGGAGACTAAAATACAAAAGATAATGTACTGATATGGATATAAGATTTTTATTTTTTGAAATTAGAATTGTAATAGTTGTCTTAGTTATGTACGTTATGAATGATTTTGTGCACAAGCTAGAATCTTCCAAGATATTTCTACTCTAAATGATTGAAAAAGAAAAAGATTACATTTCCAACTGGAGTAATATGCTGTGTACTTAAAATAGATAAATATAATCTAATGTAGTTAGTTTCATGGAGCCGAATGTTTTTTTATTGAATTAATGTATGAAATATTCCTCACCATTTTATATCATCAAATGGATTGTATCTCCACGGAGTTATTATTAAGTATTTTATGTAATCCTGTTTCCGGCACATAAAACATATGTTCTTCATGAAACAAATAATGTATAGTATCTTGTTAGGCCCAGTTGAAATACTTTACTTAGACAATTATATGTTTTATAAAATGCTTCATCCATTCATATGGCTTTGTTACATACCTGTTCATTTATATAGTTTATGTACTTTTATCTTAGCTGGCAATATAGTTTTATTATCAGTGCTGGCCTTAGCAAGTGTGAGGCTCCAAGTAGTAATGTAATCAGAATATATAAATTTTTATTCTGATGAATTTATTTTGGATCAACATTTACTAAGTTGTATTTTACGTCCAAGAAATACAACCTCCTGTTTGTTTAAAAAGTAAGGATTTTATAAATATGTCAAAAAAGGATATAAGTTGTATTATAGTGCCAAAGCCTATTGTATTTCCTAAAAAAAGCCTTTTGTTTGTTCTGTTTTTGGATCTTACAATACAAATAAAGAGAATCAATTGGAATCATTCTTTTTATTTTCAAGTAATAATTTTTCACACTGTGTCCAAACAAATCCAGTAAACTCATTATTTATTTAAAAGTAATTAAGTGCTGAATCTACAATATACTCAGTAAATATATTATGAGAGATTTAACTGTATTACTAAGTATAAAATAAAGAACTAGAATAAAGCCCTTTCGTGTATTTTATATCACTGTATAATACTACACTAACGTCCAGGTAAATACTACAACAAAACGGCCTACACAAAGAAACGTACAAGTACTACTAAACGTTAGATCAAAATCATGTATAACATAATTGTCTTGAGGTTCTACTGGCACTCAAAGAAATCTATAAATCTGAAGCGATTTGGATTAGGCAGGTGTGATTTATGCTGCTGCACCAAGCCTTGTGACTAAACAATGATATTTTAAATTTTATTTTTTCGTTTTTATACCTTGGCCTTTTTTATTCCATAATATTGATTACAATTACCATTACTAATGAATAAAGAATCACATTTAGTATACTATACTAGCCACATTCAAAAGCGAGTAACAAAATTTGAAATTTTCCATTGACAAAGAACTGAATTCAACTGAGGCTTGATCAATTGTCACATCTGACCATGTGCGACCACAGGATGGGGCAGAAGAGCAGTTGCCCCCTCTGGTATTTTAGAATAAAGTTTTTTGAATGATTTATTCAAAACATGTATTAGAAAATAATACCATTTAAATATAAATGACGAAGTTAAGTGTACATAAATGAATATGCCATGATCAGCCAGAGCATCACATTTAAACTTCAAGGCAATGACCTGCGCTCGATGATGGCTACCATTTGTCTCATCAAATCAAAACTTCAATTTTCTTTTCTCGCTTCCACATTTGCTGATAACCAACTGGATGAATGTAGTTTTTCATCGTCGATCTTTTCACGATGATCACTCATCATATATAAACCAGACAGGCGTTCTTTTGACATAGTCGATCAACCATGTTTTAACTCGTCTCATCGTAGTATTTAAACTTTCAACAGTGTACGATGTAGCCAGTAGTGTTAGAGCGATTAGAATCACTTTCTACATAGCTAGAAAAAATGTGGTGTCATAAAAGCTGCGTAGTTCTTGTCCAGCTTATGAGGCTACTAAAAGTTAGCGGATTCTGCATGTAAACAAAATAGACAAGCGAACTAGAAGAAAAAGACATAATCTCAGTTTCAATGGATTTTTATGAGCACTAATTTAAATTGAATTTGCTTTCAGATCCACAAGTAATTATGAAAAAAGCATGTTTAAAATGTTTACCACAAAACAATTAAAATTTGAGCTTTCTGACTTGGGACTCGTAGCTCTGATATCTCAGTTGGAAAAACACCAATCTCAGAGTGCTAGTGCACACTAGAATATCCTGGATTCAAGCCCTGGTCTGGGAAGAATATATTACTTCCTAAAAATATATGATTAAATTTGGCACCCAAACAGGGTGTCTAATGGTGTTGGTAGTTACCAGTGTTCCTGTTATTGCTTGTTGAAAACTCAAAATTGACTTTGCTTTGCTCAAGTGGACAAGGAATATGTAATTATTAAAAGAGGATATGCCTGCCATAGTCTATATATATATATGCTGATAGCTCATTTGAAGAAGAAAAAAAAAGAAGCTTCAAATAGCTAGTGTGAGCTGAATATTCTAGGTTTAAGCCACAGGCAGTACAGAATATTACGTACTTAATTTTAAAAAGTGTTATAATATTTGATATTACACAAAACAGCACCAATAGAACTTTATCTATTTTAACTTAAGTCTATATATATATTTTTTCTTTTCTGAAGGTTATGCTATACAAATGGGATAACATCTTGTTCCTTATTGTTACTGGCCATCCTGTTGCTTGAGGAGTCCTTCCTAGATATTGGGGCAGATGAATTCACTGGCAGCTTCAACCATGATGATTCTCTGAAAGCAATCTCGAAAGAAACTCTGGACTCATGGCCAGGTGGTTAGGGCGCTCGACTCGCAATCTGCGGGTTCGAATCCCCGTCATACCAAACATGCTTGCCCTTTCAGCCGTGGGGGCGTTATAATGTGACGGTCAATCCCACTATTCGTTGGTAAAAGATTAGCCCAAGAGTTGGCTGTGATGACTAGATACTTTCCCTCTAGTCTTACACTGCTAAATTAGGGACGGCTAACACAGATAGGCCTCGTGTAGCTTTGCCCGAAATCAATAACAAACAAACATTAGCGGGTTGAGTTTTCAGAGACACGTCCTTCTCTGGAGTTACCCAGTTGGACATTTTCTCAATGTTGTACTTCTAAAGACGAGCACAACTGATGATTTTCCCCTTGGATCGCTCATCTGTCTGAATTTTGTAAACTATATTATTGATTCTTTTCAGTACAATGTTTGTCCCTTTCAAATATTTACAGTAGAACCTCGATAAAACAAGCACTGCACCATTAACGATAGATCTTTTCAGTCTCTTTCTTTTTTCTACTATTTCTATCCAATATATAAATCTCTATACGGGCACTCAATAAAGCGTAAAGCGTGCTGTTAACCCTT